TGCCTTTCTTAATCACTTGACCTTCACTGTTACAGGGATGAGGCAGATGCACTACGTGAAGGTCTGAACAAGCTGAACACAGACATGGCCATGGAAGAGAAACACATGATCGAAAAAGACCAACTGTACAGGAAGAAGTTCATGGACGAGTTTCCTCGAGTGAAACAGGAGCTTGAGGAGCGCATAGGAAAGCTCCACACACTTGCAGACAAGGTTGACAAGGTGCACAGGGACTGCACCATCTCCAACGTGGTGGCAGCCTCCACTGGCACTGTGTCTGGCATCCTGACCATCCTTGGCCTGGCTTTGGCACCGGTGACAGCAGGGGTCAGTCTGGCACTCTCGGCAACTGGGATAGGGCTGGGAGCAGCAGCTGCTGTGACCGGTGTGTCCACCAGCATTGTGGACTACTCAAGCAAGTTGTCAGCAAAAGCTGAAGCCAGTCGCCTGACATCAATTGACAGTGACAAAGAGATGCTCAAGGAATCTCTACGTCACAATGCACCACATATTGGCATGGAAAATATTGGGAAGAACCTCCGTGCCATCAAGCTAGGCAAACCCAAACCTCCCTTAGTATCCCCTGCTGTGGGCCTCGTGACCATTGGGACAGTCTCGGTCCAAAGCATCAAGCAGGTACAGAAAAGTTTTGAAGGTACTGCTCTGGCAATGGCCAAAGGAGCCCGGGTTATGGGTGCGGCCACTGCAGGTGTCTTCCTTCTGATGGATGTGATCAGCCTTGTGGAAGAGTCACTGCATTTGCATGAGGGGGCAAAGGCAGAGTCAGCTGAAGAGCTGAGGCAGCAGGCTCAGGAGCTGGAGAGGATGTTGGAGGAGCTCAGCCAGACCCATGAGAGGCTGCAGCAAGGCCTCATCCCACAACCCCCAGAGTAGTGCGGGGAGCAAGGACAGGTGTGAGACAAAGGCATGCAGGTACCTTTATAGAGGGCAAAACAGGGTGAGATAAAGTTTCTGGGGCTGGGTGTTAAGGACTTTGGCGTTTCTGTAGCTGAACACAGCAAGGGAGGTGTTAATGCAGATGGCAGGTGGCTCAAAAAGAAGGAAGGGATGTGGAGCCTGGAATAAGGGAGGAGAGGGGATTGGGAGTCAGGGGAATGGGGAGAAACTATTTTGGACTAAAGAAGACACTGGGGGCAATGATAGAGAAGTGTAGAGGAACAAGCAATGAGAAGGCTAGGAATACTAAGGAGTGGAAAACAGGAGAAAGCTAGAGAGTTAGAATTGATGGAATATGGAGAAGTAACATGGCTCCTCTATTGACCCTCCCCATGCTTTGATATCCCAGCAAGAATGCAGTCTTTTCCTGGTGGCGCTCTTTAGCCATACCTTTTCATGATCAACTCACCCTTTCCTTCCAGCATGTTCATCTTAATTAGGCAATGACTTCTTGATGATGACAGTGATGATGATTGTGGTGATGATACTGATGATAGCCATGGTGGTGATGAGAGCAGAGTAAGTGGAACATTTGCCACGTCACTGGTGCTTTTTGGGGCCAGAGTGCACTGAGAGATCAATAACATTCCAATGAAATTGCAAATGCTATATTGGAACAGTGGTTGATTTAGAAAAGAAAAGTAAAGTGAAACCAGATGCCAGTATCACATCAAGGAACCTTGTGATGTGTCGAGGAGATCAACCAGCTTGGAGTCAAGAGACACAGCCTCTCTGAGCCTCAGTTTCCTCCTCAGTTGTGGGGGGGGGGGTTGCTGGACAAGATAATATTTCAGATCTGTCTGCTCTCCCTGTCTTGTGTTCTATAGACTGGTTCAATAAATATGGACTGATACACTGAGCCTTTGTTGTGTTGATTGATGGGCTCACCTGGGCTCCGCATGCTTGACTTTCCTTCCCCATGAGCCTGTCTTCCGTGATCTCAAGGAGCAAGTCCTCCTTTGCCCCTCCTGCTCACTCACTGTGTTCCCACTCTCCCATCTGGTCATTTCCCCCAGACCTCAGCACCCCACTGGCACCACTGGAACACCTAGGGGAATCTTGTGCACACCTGGAATGGGCTGAACACAGGCATGTTCCTGATCCAGTGGCTGGGCACCAGGATTGACATGTGGCACATGAGGCTGATTAGGATCAGAAGTGCATGTGTGCAGGTATGAAAGAGGGTCAGCCATAAATAGAGGGACAGAGAGGGACAGCCAGACAGCAATCAGCCTCGCACAAGCTACCCTCATATTTCTCCTAGATTTCTTCAAGAACTTTCAGAAAGGTCTTCTTGTATTTACTCTTGTGGCTTTGCCACTACCCCCCCCCACCCCCTGCGCCTCCCCCATTCTCCACACTGAGCCAGAATGACCCTTAAGAAGATAGATCATTTCAAGCACTGCTTCCCACCCCTCGATGGTTTCCCAATACTCTTAACACAAAAGCCTAAAGCCTCCATGCAGCCTAGAGTAGACTGGGTTCCCTGGAAGGTAGAACTGGAGGCAAGACTCTCTCACAGAGGGTTTATTTGGGAAGTGATCCCCAGGAGTAGGACTGAGGGGCTTGGCGAATGGAAGCAGAGAAGGGAGGAAATTCAATACAAAGACATGTTTCTGATATGATCACCCATGTGGGCAACTGATTCTGCTAGTACCTTCTGAGGAGCCTTCATGGAATGGCCTCAGATTCATCCCTTCCAGGAAGGAAGAGGGAAGCATTTGACCATTGCACCCCCCTTCACCATGGGCTTGCTCCAGTGGGCATTAATTCTCTGTATCTCCGTGTGTGGAGCATGTAAGTGTCAAACAGTTTCCCATGACTGGAGCTCAGGGAGGGACACCAAAAACAGAGTACATGCAAAATTATCCCAGAGAGTCTCCTCAATCACTCACAAAGTGCATCCAGTACCTTATATGTCCTTCAGTATATACCACCTTGCAGAAGACTTTTCTCAGTCCCTCTTACTCTCTTTCAGCCTGTGTCTCCCTGGGACCTGCCATCGATTCTTCCATTTCTTCCTGAAGAAGTCAACAAAGTCATGGCCACTCACTTGCCTGATCACCTGAACAATGTGTTTCACTTCTTCGTCAATTCTTCACCAGCTCTTGCATAATTCCCTTTCTTTCCTAGATATCACTTGGACATTGAGTGTTTTAGGCACTGAGTAATTGAGTCCCTGTGTAATCCACCAAGCCTTCTCCCCCTAAACACTTATCGTGGAATTCCCTTTTGCTAAATGTGCATTTGATGAAATTTCACTGTAATACTTGTAGCAGTTGAGATTCCTTTTGTTACAAGCAGCAGAAATTGTCTGGCTAACATAAGCAGATCCATTGGAAGGGAGCTAGGGCAGTTCAGAGAAGGGAAAGAAGCCCAAAATCTACTCAGGTCAGGAAGGACAGGAAGCAGGGTGAGTCTAACTTTAGGAACTTATAGTCTGCCCTTTGAGGGCCCTGCCATCAGATAGCTTGTGTCCAAACATGTGGAATCCTGGTGTCTCTGATTAAAGTTTCTAATTCCCAGGTGACAGAATAGCTTGGGTTGGGTGACTATATTCTTGGACCAGTCAGGCCAAGGGATGAGGAAAAGGAATGAGTTATAGGGACACAAACCTTAGGGGGAGTCTCAGGTCAAGAAGCCACCTCAGTTTGTGCCTACTAAATACCCTCAATCCATTAGCTACCAGACACACACATGCAGTCTTCTTCTCAGATAAACAAAAATGATCCTCCTTAAGCTTTATGGATCCGACGATCCCATATCCAATAGCAAGTGGTCTCACCACTTCCCTGGTTGGAGATAAACACAAATAATCTCCACCTACTGCATCTTGAAGTTATGTCAAGCAGTGGAGGGTTTCAGTATGATGTCAATCTTTCTCTTGCTCCATTGGGATCCTCTCTCAATATTTTGCAAATATATATTTGTATTTATATACATATATAGATATTGGTAGGAAACAAAGAGATGCAATAGAGGCTACAATCACGGTTGACCATTGCTGTCACTGACGCAAGCCTTTAACTGGTTATTCTGCCCAATGTTCCTCTTCCCTGTGGGCAAATTCATTCTTCTGGAGCCTGAAGCTCTTGGTGGTCCTGCCTCACTAGGGTTCTGGAATTTTCTATTAACCTTTGCTACTTGTTTTGATAGTACAAGAAGGAATCCTAGCAGATCCCTCGGGTTCTACTCAGATTCCTCCTGCCCTACTCTGTAGCAAGAATATGAATTTCTCTTGATAATGAAGATCAACTACTACATCTAACCCAGTGACCTCATCGTTATCCACACATTGAGGAGTATGAGGAATCAGGTACACCTAGTTCTATGAAACCATCTTTGTCTGCCTTAAGGGAAGTATTCCCCTCTTAGGTACTGACACCTCTAGACCGGAATGTGCCAGAGTCATGGGTATTGAAAAAAATTTTTTGAACGTGGTTCATTATGTGTAATCATGAGAGCTATACCCTCATCTTAACTTCTTATTTCCTTGATCCATAAACTATGGCTATGGGAGAAAATGCACTAAATGCTCTGTATGGATTTAGAGCATAACACATCCTATGAGGCAGTATTCAAGCTCTCAAGGTATTTTTTCCCAGTTGACTCCTAGCTGAGTCCCCTTCAGGCCATTTCAATTATATTTGAGACCATCACTACTGGGGCTGAGATTCTTTAGGTTCCAAGTCCACCTTGATGATGGACAGTCTATACTGTACGGTTAGACATGGCCTTTCTATCAGCCACTTTGTCACAGAGCCCTTTTGAAAGCACTAGGCTGCCTGGAGAAAGGGGAAGACTTGCAGTCACTAAGGGAGTCTTCATCAATTATTGAGTCACTCTGACAGTGGCGACATTCTAGTGAGCATTCACATGGGACAGGAGTATTTTCCAGCTCTGGCCTCATTTAGAGAGCTCCATCCACATACCTGGTCCATAAGTATCTTTGTCACCAATCCTCCAGATTTATTCTTTCTAAAATTCTGACCTTCCAGCCAGACCCTTAGTTGTTACCCAAGAAACGATGCAGATCCTGGCCTGAGGACACCTCTTCTTCCAGGCAGAGTGGACTATGAGATGTTCTCTGCTGTTCTTCAGGAACACTCTTAAGAAGTGTTCCACAGCAGCCGTGCTCTGGCTGAATCCACTGTGTAGGGCAGAAAACCCCCCAAAATTTGAGAGAGTCTGCATGCTGATGACGTGGTTTAAACACCTGAATTTGGCCTTTCTGGACCTTTCAGTGATGTCTCTATTTAGTTTTTGCAAATTGGAGTTCGGCTTCTGTCTCCTACAATCGAAGATGTCATCCTTTGGGGCCCCTGGATGTAATGAACTTGTTTCACAGGGAACTGTTATCTTCTTAGTTGGGGGGGGGGGGTGTTCCCACCATGTGTAGTCATGACGATCTCTCTATATGGAAGCCAGAGAGACCAGGTTCTTCCTTCTCTGGCATCCAGGGCTCATACCCAAGACTTAGCTTTATTTATTGGCTGCTTCCACATGGGATGCAGAATCTGGAGCAAGTGAAGCCAAGACCAAGGGTGCTTAGAACCAATTCTGAATGACTTGCCAAGAGGGGAATTGTGATGGAGGATGCTGTCCTGCGACACAACGGATAATATCTCAGGGTGGCAGAGGCAGCATCTATTCCCCTAGGATATAATGGTTGGGCTGGTGGAGCCCGATGATAACCATTTATCCAACGAGCCACATGAGAAGGATGACCAGTGAGACCCCTACCCCACCCACTGCCAGATGCTGGCAGAGAGCTGAAACAGGGCAGGATGAATGGGAGCAGAGAGGAGCTGGGAAGTAGGGAAATCAGGTGGGCTCTGAGAAAGAAAGAAGGAAGAGAGACTCACTGGAGTATTTACGGGGCAGGGGAAGGCCTTAATCTGCTCCTCATTCCATGTGATAGGGAGAGAGTAGGAAGT